TCCTAATCCAGAAAAGGACATATTGACCTGCCTATTTCCATGCATGTGGAATGTCCTACTGACTTTGCAGAAACGTAAGTGTAGAAAAAGATAATGCAAAATGCAAAAACAGTGGCAAATCAAAGTGGGGACTTAACTGCCTTCCATCTTGTTTAACATTAAGTTTCCTAAGGCCAACTTTGTATTTGTAAAACAAAACAGAATTATCGAATCCCAAACCTATCACTGTAACAAAGCCCGGAATTCCCTACCCAAGCAGAGATATCAAACTATCTGAATAACAAAGAACTACACAGTGAGCAATTAAAGATAAGAATAGTTTACCACAGACAGACACTAACCTGGCATTCTTAAAGTGAGATTCTTGAACTTCAAAAACGTGGATTAGCTGTCTTTAATAATATATACTTCAATGCACTTTCTAGGGAAAATTGCAGAAGATAAAAGAATATGGTCACGGGGTCCCTTCTGATCTTGGAACACATTTAACAGTTCCCTCGTTCATGTCTTATCTTTATGGGCCAGGGGGAAAAAGAACAGCTTTGCATTGCCCTCAGAGAGCATCTTGCAGCTTTGCAGCAAAAATGACTACCAATAAGCCTGGTGCTTCAGGGATATTGCACAGCCAGTCAATTCAAGAGGTGGAGGAGGAATGCTTTTGCAAGCTGAGGTAGAGGTACTCTTGCCTGTGGTTTTTTTTTTGTTGTTGTTGTTGTTTCTCTACTGCGTGTGAACAGCAGGTACAAGCCAGGTCAGGAAAAGGGACACTGCACAACGTAGGCTAAAGCATGGACATGTTTAAAAATTTCCCCAGATACCTTTCTGATAGGGTCGGCCAAATACCGAGTTGAAAAGGAGTTTCTAGGGTGAAATAAATGGGTATTTGGGATTTTAACCCCTCTGCCCTATAGGGTATGGTTTGTCCACAGAGATTATTCAGATCTATTTCACTTCTTCAGTTCCTCACCACTGCAGAGGCCCCAGGAACTGGTATTGCCTTAGGATCACTTCTTCCCTGGCTGCAGCAATTTAGACTCACCCCAGTTGAAACAAGCACACTGGACATATATGGTGCTTTTACATAAAGTTTTATAGCCTTTGAAGTTCAGACAATTAGGATAGCTGATCTAATGATGCCTCACGGCCTAAAATTTTTATTGTTTTCCCTTCTAGGGTATCATAGTTACTATAGACTCCCCTAGATGAAGGCATATAAAAATCTCAGTCCTGTGACACTTCTCTTCCTGCCTAAGGTAACTCCATGTTACAGGAGTAAATTTTCAACTGGCATAAGCTACAGCTCCTCCACTGAAGTTTGTGTATCTAGGCAACATGCCTCTACTGACACAGGACATAGCTATCTGGTACCAAAAACACAAAGGATAAAGTAAACCACAGACATGCAGAAATTCCCTCCATGTATAAACATAGCTCCTTCTGCAAACTTACCGACCAGTCTCTGCTGACGTCATTTGCTACCCACTCCCTTAACCCGCAGGATAATAGGGAATACTCGCTATTTGCGTCACTGTACCTATGACCAGATAAGCCCCTAAAAAAATGACAGTTTGTCACATTTCTTTCCAAGGACTTATTCAGGCTTGTCTGTCCCAAATGATCATGTCCCTGTGTGTCATCATGTCCCATCATGTCTCGTAGAAGTTCTCCTAGGGACTATTTACACTCTACATACTTTTTGAAGAAAACAAATCCTGGATCCAAGTCTTCCTTAAGAAACGGATGCCTCCCAAAACAATATTTACCCAAGTTTATTATTAGATTTGTAAGCTGCATGCCTATAAGAGAGAAGTTAAATCAAAATAAAAAAAAACAAAATCTACCATCAATCAAGGCCAACACATCCATAAACTCAAATATGACAGTTATGATTAATGTGAAAAAAGTATACTGCTCATTTCATGGCCCACTTAAAGCACTGATTAGTTTCTCAAATTTCAGGCTAATTTTGGTGCAAAATCTTCTTTTCTTCTAACTGCTGGACACAGGGAAACAAAAGTGGTCACTCTCATTTTCATACTGCTGAAGCAAGTGCTTCTGATAAATGCTCTGTGCATTAAGCCAGCAAAACTGAAGACCTTACCTGATTCCTTTACCATACATTACTGACTTTTTTTTTGGTCTTTGTCTTGTATTCCCTAACATAATGTGTTTTGCCACAAAAACAGCTTTTGGTAGTATGTTACTTTTCACTATTCATGCTGCAACGTGAACGCTCTCAAATAAATTCCAGTCTCATTCATAGACAGCAAACTGACTCTTCTGTAGCCACATTCAGTGCAACTCAGGAGAGCAGTAAGGAACAGAGGATGACCAAAACGATTTTTCTCCCACCTAGCCTAGACTACAAAACACTTGCTGTAAGTTAAAGCCATCAACAAAGTTCTCCTCGCTGATTTAGAGATCACGCTAGCTGCAGGGGAGCCTAAAATTTTGGGCTGCACAGTCAATTGGCCCTGCAGGTCTTTGCTCCTGCTTCCACAATGAGTGATCTCCAGTCAGAGGTTATTGCTGCAAAGCACATGTGCAAATATTTAAGTTTTAACTAACAAAAGACTCTTTTGAAAGTTGTGTGAATCATGCTGCAGCATCAGAGAAAATTCCCTCGTTAATTAGCACAGAGAGAACTCCCTCTGCGAGTGCTGCTGCTCTAAGGTTGCATGGTGAAACAGCAATGGAACTTGAAGAAAGCTGCTCCTGACAAGACGATTGCAAGCACCTGCATTTCTGAAAATACTTCTGAAATATTTTGGCTGGCAAGAAGAGAACTTAAGAGCTTACAAGAGATGGGAGTGCCCCATCCGGGACCAGTCCTGTTGCATCTGGAATGTGCACCTTTGAGGGGGTCAGGGCAATGTGAGGAGTTGTATGAGCACGCAGGACCGCCGGGTGCGTGCAAGCGTGCATGTGGACATCTTTTCATTTATGTTAAGTACAGAGGTCATATCAGCCCAAACTATGGAGACACATCGAGTGCCTTTGTAACAAAAATGGAATTAACGGGAATCTGCGTTCTAATAACAACTTACTAGGATAGTAGGAGGAAAAAATCTGCTACAATTACGAACATACCCAAAAGAAAGAAACATTGACTGAGACTAAAATTAATAAGATGTGTCGGAGAGCAGAACTCTCCTGTACTAGGCATGATGCAAATGTATAGAAAATGACAGCATCTATTCCAAAAATAGAGTAGAGCAATATGATTGAGGAGTTTGAAAGCTGAAAGGGGGAAAAGATGAGACATATTGTACAAAGACAGTGATAGTTGAAAGTACACCACAAGCATTGCACAGGACAGCCCCAGTGATGTGCAACAACAAACAGCACCTACAAGGAGCCAAAGGACATCACAGAGGAAACGTGGCCCATAAATACACACAATGGACAACCCAATTGTAGTCAACAAGCGTCCTGTCCCAAGGGACGTAGAATCCTGTGACTTTACAGAAAGTGCAAAGAATTAATAGGCAAAGAAGTTACATAACCTGCTCACTTCTGCTATGGTTCATACAGGTCAGGTCTGAAGCAAAAAGATGGAGCACTGGATGGAAATGTGCACGTCATACCTTTTGCTGTGATAAACAAAGGATTACAGCCTCTAAGGTTGCCAAACCAGCGTCCTCCAGGGTAATTACTCCACACAGACCCAAGCACTTGCCTGCAGAAGACACACTAAACACCAAATTGTGTTCTTAGTGTCCAAAAGTGCCAAGAAACCAATGTGGTCACCCCATAGTTTCATTAATGTTCCATTTTCAGAGGCAGCAAGCTTGAACCTACAAACTTGCAATTAGAATTGATTTTTACTAGTGAAAAAGAAAAAACAGAACTGCTGCAGGGAAGGGACCTCATCAAACAGTTCTGTTTCTGTAAGTGTCTTGGCAGCATCCTTCTCACTTGTGCACAGCCATTTAGGAGTTTTTTCCCATGAAATCTGATGCTCCCATCTTGTCAACACTCCCCAAAACTGGAGGGAGAGCTCAGGGGCAGGGAACAGTTTGGCTTACAACACCTAATAACAGTCTGAAAAATAATAGCGTGTTCTTCCATTAATCCAACATATTTGCTCTTCAGGGATTGAGTCACTCGAGCCAAAATCCTGCTGGATAGAGACCAGACCTCAGGAGCCAAATTCTGCTCTTGGTATCACCACAATAAATCTTGAGTAGTTCCATGCAGTTCCATCTACCTATTAAACTTAACAACAGTATAATCTTGAACAGAATCAAGCCCTGAAAAATTCACCAGTTTGAAAACTGTTAATTTCTCTTGGAAGTTGTTTTACAATCATTCACCTACAAATTAACACTAAATCCACACATATTGGTTGAATAAAACTTGACTAGCAACACTTCTAAAAAATAAGTAATATCATCAATCTCTATTTTAAAGGTCACCCTAAACACAGACATGCTGGTAAACAGAAATTTTAAGAGAGTGACTGAACTACTGCTTTATAACATACAGAAGAACATTTCATCTCTGATCTAGAGAGATCAAGTCGAATTTATCAAGCCGCACTGTGATAACAACGATCTAGTCCGTATGTCAGTACACAATGGTTTTGTTGTACAGATAAGACTGACATCAGAGGCAAAAATTTTTCAAGTCTGAATGTTATTTAAATCAGTAACATATGTTCTAATAGGAAGCTTACATAATAGTTTCATTGTACTCCGAAATAGCTGTAAAGCGCTCAAAATTGTAAAACTGATTGTATACATGTGTTGCTCTCACTTAGTTGAGCCCATGACACAGCCCCCAATCCTGCAAGCAGTTCTAAGGCCATGGCCTTACGTCCCGGCAGCGTCCTTTTTGCTGTTGAACAAACTTTATATGAATGCAAGGGCCTGACTGCCGAGACCTGCTTTGCAGTATTGCAGCCTTGCTTGTTTTGCGTTTACCCTTCCAAAGTCAATCAGCAGTATATTGTAGAACTGTGGGCTTGGCTCTCCTTTGCCTTGCACCTCACACAGCCCTGTGCACGCTGTGGTTACAGCAGGTTGCTATGAGCATCTTTCACTTTCATGAAGGTGTGAATATGCCTGCCCAAGGTGCAAGGTAATAGCGGCCACATCCTGTCTTGCTGTTGCCCAAAGCCTGCTTTAGGCTGAAAGGCCATAGAAATCTAACGCTTAATATTTTGGCCTTATTCTTCCTTCTGAACTGTGCAGGGTCCTTTTCCCCCACAGTAAGCGTTCCCAATCATGGTGAGGCACGTAGTCAGAGACTTCAAAAACTAAACAAGAAAGAGATTTTGCAAGGCAATTTTCAATTCATACGCTTCAAAACATCAGCAGAAGGCAAGTGTGTTTTAGTCACCAAGGTTGGAGAGAAAGCTTGCATCTACAAAAGGTTTGTTTAATAACAGCTGTGTCTATGAAATTCTACCTTCACTATCTCCTTTTACATGCAAATGAAGAATTTCCATGTGAATGAAAAGTTGTTGTTCAAAGGCCTTTGCAGTAAGGTGTCTCTGTTGTCCAATCTTTTTTGGGCAACCCTCAAGTGAATAAAACACTGCTTTCCACGTGGGCTGCAGTGCTGATTCCACCAGCAGTATTTCTCCCCTAAAAAAGGACTTCATTGTTTTACTTCAGATCTCTTTCTGTCCACCTCCCTTTTTTTGTGTGTTTCAAGTTTGGAGTAGGGACAAAGGTATAGCATAAAGCTTTTTACCTGCGGATCTCCACCTCACATTGCATCGACAGGGAAAGCGATCTCTAGTGAGCGAATACAGCTCCCTCAGTGAGGCACAAGTGGTAAAATAGGGATACTATTTGCATTTGCACACTTTGCCTAGCCCCCTGTGCAGTCAAAAACGCTGCCTGCTCAGCTTCACCATGATGCTGAGCTGAGAGCTAGCTACAGTAACTTTCAGGGACTTGCTAGAGCAAAGGGCAACTATCAAGGAACCACGTGCTTTGGCCAGTACTTTCCCTAAGATGGAAATCTTAAGAAGTGACAGGAGCCTCCTCGGCTACAGCAGCCAATAACACTCACTATTCAAGTAGTTGGGCTGTTATCCAGAACTGGAGCCAAGGACCACACTAGTGCCCACATCAGTACCCTTCAGTCTGGCAGAATATCCGAGCCTGTCTGCAGACATGTCTGTGACAAATGCTGCAAGCATTGCAGCTTGTCAAAAATCCTTGTTCCACGAACACCAGTTCCTAGTCTCCCACGGGCCTCAGGGGGTGCTGGTTTCCCAGAGGAACTCCCCAAGCGCTTTTCTACATGAGAATTGCGGGTCGAAACAGAGCAAGAACCCAGTCCCTCTGAGTCCCATCTCAGGGCCATTCCTATCTTACTAGTTAAGATTCTTTTGTACGTTATGGTTTCTCCTCATCATCTCATAGAACCCACTGTAGCAACCACATTAAACTTGCTATACCACTTGCAAGCACTTTACTTTGCAAGTCAGATTGTACCTCCTTTAAAACAAAAGTACTTGTTGACACAAAGAGGACAAGGGCATTTTTAAACGAAACAGAGTGCTGATACACAGGCTTCTGTAATAGTCATAACTGTGCTGGAGTTAACCTAGACATTCACTTCTCTTAAAAGGAATACACGTAGTGAGCTGAAAGTCCCTAAAACGTAGCTTTGGTTTCAAATGTTCTCATTTTCAGTTGCTGTCAAAAAACCTAGAGCAGAATAACAGGCTTGGATCAAAGCTGATGTAGCTGGAGTCAGGAATAGCAATTCTCTAACACCCGAATATATAGTGTGCGTGGGCAGGATAACGTAATTCTCTGTTAATTTCCTTTTGATCATTAAATTGCTTGTCAGTTTACTTACTTGGTAGCGTTTTAACAGATAGTGGAGCAGTAACAATGAAATATTAGTTCCTTTAACTCAGCTCTTACATTTTAAAAGGAGTAAGGGTTGCCAAAGTGTGGTTCTATGGGCCAAAAACCGTCTGTGATTCCCCCCCCCCCCTTTAAAAACACCCTGCACCAGCCCCACCTTTGACATGAAGCCGTGCCCCAGAGATGCTGTAAAAATCAATACACAGTTGGTTAGGGGTACACCCTAACAGGCACATGAATTTTCAAACAGGGTAAAGTTCAGATACATAGTAAATAAAACTGTCACTCCCACATTTCAGTTGTCCCTTGATTTAGCCCCAGAGCTGCTGACATTTCCTATAAATTTGGCAATCCTTCACTCCGACTGTTGAAAGTTTACATATAAAAAGTAACGGATAATGAAACTGCGGTTACAGAATGAGTTATTTGCATTAAGGAATGAATCCCACATAATTTTAAATTTCCTGCATGGATAACTTTTTAGTCTCCAACATGTTGCGTGCCTGGTTCACAGCATGTTCCAAGTTTGAGCTTTGGCAGAATAAGACAGATATATTACAACTTTGATTTAATATAGGTCTAACCCTTTAAAATCAACACTTGAAACTTAATGCTGCACGGTAAGCAAAAGGAATATTTGGTAAAAGGTCTAAATCAGTGGACAGCTTCACCAATGTTTAAAATTATTTTGTTGCAAAAAGTACTTATTCTGAGCATCAGAAAAATTGAACCTCTAATTCTGTGTGATCAGTTAATCTAAAGAATTGGATTAGCTTTTGAGTTGCTATTTAACTTCTGTCACACCAAATGGTTTTAGAGTTTTGACTGAAAAAAAAAAAAAAAGAGATACCATAGATATGCATTGCTATGACTATCTAGAGAGAAAGTGTAATTTAAAGTCTTAATGTATAGGTGCTGAAAATGCAGGTTCTCAAGATCCTTTAAATCTAGCACTTTTCTCCTACACTAATGATTTTCTGTCATGGTTGATGGCCATTTCTTCTTTGTACCTTTTCCTCCATGTATTATCTGTGCATATATTCAATGAAAAAATAGAAAAAGACACAAGCTTGCAAGGAACGGATACAGTCACAACTTCATCATGTGAATTTTTTTTTTTTACGGCTAGAAAATGGCAATTAATTCCCCCCACATTTCTTCTCTCTACATGCTTATCCTCAAGGAATCTGGCATGATAGATTTGTCTCTGTATGACCTGAGTCAAGACTTCTTCCTTAACTGATAGGCTTAACCTAGCTAGGCATAATCCATTTTCTGCCCTTTGCTTACCTTGCAGTTGTCACGGTTCCTTTTTAGACTACTGACAGTCCCACCACAAGAGGTAAACAGTCATTGTGCTGGACATAAGTGTAGCCTCTAGCCTTCCGTGTAAACCACACATTAGGATAAAACCTTCCACTGGCTATGACCTATACTAATCTCAAGAAAGGCGCTCCTCTCAGATGTTATCAACTTCAGTCAGCTGTCCTTAGGCTCGCGAGTAAGTGAAACTATTCCCAAGAAGAGTCAGGCAATCTACTACCTGCCACATCGTTCAAAAGTCTACACTCACTCCATGAATTTTCAGTGGCTCTCTGCATTTCTTCAGTGAACAGAAAGGTTTCCAAATTGCTGTATCTGAATTTTTACATTAGCCAACTCAAAACACATTGCAAAAACGATCTGGCATCATCGTTAAGTACAGGTGGTTGGAAATAAATTAACTTTCTTTAACAAGAAAAAATATACAGATATAGTTTTCTTTCAAATTGTTAAGATTAATATTTCTTCAGCAGCAATGTGATAGGTTGGGAATGCAAAAAGGAAAGAAACATCAATGATGATGTCTACAAGTGGTATTTAATACTAATGAATGTACAAAGTAGAGCGCAAGGACTTCCCCTAATTATTATGCTTTGTGAATTTCAAGGTAAATACCAGTTAAACTAAACTACTTAATAAAGCAAATGCAATTCATTCTTGACAAAAAAAAAAAACTAGTCAGAAAAACATGCTCTTTTGCCTTAAAATAATGGGAAGATCATTGCCTTTTGCAGATGAGAACAAACACCCAAAATATATATAATTGGCTTATTCACACAGATGAACTTTACAGAAGGTCCTTTAGACAGTGGAGGCTGTATTGTTTAAATACATAAAGCAACAATGTAAGACTCATTATACAAATAAGCATATTATCTTTTTTTTTAATCCTCCAGTATAACTTAGCAACCACATTTTAATGTCTTTATTCTATAAAGGATGAAACTTATGCTAATAATTCTTACTTTTCATAGGGCCAAAATTTAACATGTGGCAAGAGAACTTAATTTTTTTTTAAAATAAGTGAATTCCTATGGAACAAACACAACATTTTAAAATTGGATTTACCTTGGGATGCTGAGAACGACATCCTCAAAAAAAAGTTTGAGAGACCTTAATAGGGGCAATTACTAAGAACAAGATAAACTGAACAACAATAAACACAGCAAAACAAATGTCTAAATTCTTTTCTGTAGCAAGGAGAAATAGGAGCGAGAGTATAAAGTTGACTGGTAGGACAGCCAAGTTGATGCAGTGCAAACTAGAGAATAACGTAAATGCTCTGTCAAACACAGTCCTTCATAAAATATCTATTATTGAAAGCGGGTGGTAGGTCTTTCTATCAAATCTTTTTGTTCAGGTCCTCAGCTCCATGTGATGAACGCACAGCGCAGCTTAAGGTGAAGAACGTGTGCGTGCTATACCTGCTGGGGATATGCACGGAGTGTCATGGGAACCATGCTGCCTGCTGAATCACAGACCTCTCTCTTCCTAAAACAGGAAGACATTTCCTTATTTCTTTTTGTAGGTATTGGCCATCCCAAAGAGACCTCATGCAGTCTGTAAAGATCTCAGTCCAAAAGAGTAAGGCTTTCCAACCAACAGCAAATCAAAACTAAATCTCCAAAAAAAGTGTGCATATGTTAAGGGAAAAATAGCAACAGGTCTGCTGTGTGCGGTAATGTGTCCACAGATGATAAGAACAATAACTAAATCAACTCCTACACAAAGACTATTTTACAGAAATTAGATTATAAGAACCTATTGTGCACTGAAATCTTATTCATGTCTTCATTACTCATTCACATTGCTTAGCAGTTACCAATTGATGAATACAAGCAAGCAGCCTAATATCCCCTTTATTTTTTTTAATCAGTACTTACCTTGAATTCTGAGACCATAATTTTCAACTGAATTTAACTGTTTCCAAAGAAAACGTAACCTGTAGTCAAGCCACTAAAGAGAAAGCCAAAACAACTTACAAACCCATTATACCAATGCTAAGATTATTTTCCTCCCTATTTCTGCAAGGACAACCTTCCTGATGGCTGCTTGGACCACGGTTGTTATGGAGACTATGAAAGCTGTATAGCTCCACCAGCAACAGGCTAATTACAACGGCTTCCCAACCCGATTCTTTGGGTTTTCTGAGGTGATGATTACAACCATTCCTTCTCATCACTGACTAAAACAAACACTTAGGTGTAAATTTCCATAAAGTGAGCTCTGACACTGGCAGCTGAAATGTAGCAGCTGCAAACCTTAATAGCTGGGCACGTAAGTGCTTATGTGCTGGCAGAAATCAGCTGGTTATTACTAATGTTTTTATTTATTATACAATAGGAGCATCTAGAGCATGTAACTGAGATCATGATCCCATCAGGCAAAGCTCTGTATATAACACGTTAAAATGACTGCGTCTGCCCCTGAAGGTTTTATAAAGTAAACAACAGAGGCAGAAACTCTGTATTTTCAACAGCTATGGAACAAACAGGGAGCAGGCCAGCACCATGACTGGGACATGGCAGGTCTGTGGCTAACCCACCAGCTGAACCCTATTTTTGAAGTTCTGGGCCTGTGGCTAAGCCACAAAGCCACCAAGTCCCTCTAGTCTATGGGTAAGCTGCTGCCATTCCTATCTCCAGCTGGTTCAAAGAGTAAAACTGCACCTGTAACCCCAGAAACTGGAATCTGGAGAGACTGTGGTGCCTTAAATGCTCCTCATTCAGTAACAACAATTGACAGGTCTTAGCTAATTACTACCTGAAAGCAATCAGTATTTGTAAGAACAAAACAGCGGTTAATAGATCATTTCCGAGGTTCCCTTTGGAAATGATAAAAGCTTTTATCTATGCATTTTCTTGATGAAGGAACATCCTCACCTCAGTAAGTGCTCACTCTGAGATGAGCCACAGCAGGCTGGGCAACACCAGCTGAAGCTGGACCCCAGAGATAACTACACATGGAAAAGGGGAAACAAGAGGATTTCAACCACACAGAGGGCTGGAGGGCTTCATGTAAACAACCCCAGGCTCCAGCAGAGGTATTTACTGCTCAAATATTCAGCAGAGCCATGTTAACAAGGCAGTGCCTGAGGCAGCAGTAAAGAAAAGCTGAACTGTTCATCTCAGATGGGTGCACAGCGCAGAGGTAACAACCTGAAAGGAAAAGTCAATCAACCTTCTCTTTTTTCCAAATACACTAAAAGTGCTGTTTCCATTCAGATGGTGAACAGAGAAGGGGCACAATTATTTATTAAATCATGGGCTTACATCACCTTGCTGGCATTTACTGACAGACATGTTCCATCTGTTATCTATTATTTACTTCCTTTGCTCTTTCACTAGCCTCGTTTATTCTGCAGAAAGCACTGCAGTATACGAGAAAAAAAAGCTGAAAAAAAGCTCTCTAGCCTTCTAAACCTGATCCTACATATAATCTTACTATAATGTTCCCAACAAGAAGGCTAACTATCCGATCAGAAAGAACCACAAATTTGAGGAATGCATGGGGAGAAGGCCACGTGAACCTGACAGGCAGAGAGCCTGACAAAGGTTGCAGGGGAGCTTCAACTGGGGAAGGCTACATAAAACGTAGCATGCTGGAGACAAGAACCATGGAAAGACACTGCAAGGCCAAAGACCTGTTCTGATGTCCTCTAGACATGCTGCAAAATAAAGAAAAGCCTGAGCTCCAGAACCAAAATGGTGCTTGCTTTTTTTTTTTTTTTTTTTTTTTTTTTTGTAAAAACAGAAAACAAGTTCAGCTTCCCTTGCTGGTGAATCAGCCCATCAGAGTCCCAGACATTTAAAGCCAAAAAGACATTAATACTATCTACTCTGAGCAGCTAATATGGTGAAATTAAAATGAGAAAGGATAGGAGCATTAAACTTCCTTCCTAACCAAAGGAGAGCTAGGCATCTTTGAGGTGGTCTACCTAGAATTGTTAAACGCTCAAAGGAATCAGGTCTCCCTAGGAATCTCATGCAGACTGGCTACCTGTGCTTTATTGAAGAGAATCTACTTAGCTGAAAATAACCATATTTCTATCCCAAAATCATTACTTTGCATCAATAATATGAATGTCCTTAGGCAGAAGAAAAAAAGGGCAAACTGAAGAAAATATAGCACGGAAAGGAATTAGTGAAAATGATAGGAAGAAAAAACGGATTAAGGGGAACAATGCCCCTAAACATCTTCTGTTTAAAGCTGTCCATCAAACAGCAGATGCCTGGACATACACCACCAGTAGTACTTCAGTTTTTTGGTGACCAACATTACAGCTCAGTCATATACAGCACAGAGCAATTTGGTTCTGATGCAACAAAGCATTTGGACGGGTGTTCAGTTTTCAACGTGAGACTTGTGACTTTCAGATATCTGAGTTGGATGAGCACCAAGGAATAACATGGCTAATTTCAAATGCCCAAAGATCGTGATTCAGATCTCAAAAATATTTTTAAACATTAAAGACCTTCTTCCTCCCAGTTACAAAAGAATTACTTCAGCTCTGGTTTCTTAAAGTCATGAAATCATCAGCAAAATCCTCACTCAAGTCACTTGGTTCACTTTTTTAGTCCTCTTTTCACAACTAAGGAGGGCTTCAAACTTTTTGAAAAGGGAGTAGAGATTCCTGTGTAGCCAATCTTGTCTCCAATAGCTGGTGCTGTAAGAAAAAAAAAAAAAACACCACATCCTAAGACTCAAAAGCACGAAAAGTGTTAAATCTGAATGCTTTCTGCGCCTTGCTCATTCGAACCTTGAAGATATCTGTTTCTCATCTTTCCTCTTCCATGATGACTTTTCACGCCCAAATGGATAAAGATAACCCACTCCTTATTTAGCGGGAATCTTTTTTCAACAGGATAAGAATAGTGAAAGAACTGAATGCAACACAGACTGCAGCACGGAAATTTTTAAGTCTACCTAGATTAAGAAAATATGCTTTGCTTTTACTATAGTCCTCATGTTAACTTTGGTCCCCACACTCTCTGCAATCTCTGCTTTTCATCTGACTTGAAATATGTGCATAAGCAAGTTAATTTCAGCTCCTTAATCACCAAGAATAACCTTTCTCTATCACAATCAGTTGCTGAAGCAGCCCTGGGAGCTGACCAGTCTTCTGCTGGGCTATGATGCGCAGAGCTGAAGTGTGGAAATGAATGCTAGCAAAACAGAAGTCTGTCTGGAAAACCGTGCTTCTGCTACAAACTATGGGATCCAGTTTCTGAGATTCCCATATCTGAGTTAAAAGGTCTTTCATAAAGATATTTATCTACCATTTTTAAACAGGTCTCTTCGTTCATCCCTGAATTGAGAATAAAAGCAATCAGATAAAAAAATATATAGGCTACATGCCAAAGAAGCAGTAGTAATTCACTGGCTTTGAAATATAGTTCTTTTACTGGAATCATTACCAAGACAAGGACCATGTATCATCATAACTGAAAGACAGTTTTTAACATACACTTTTCAGAATAGGTTCCATGTTTCTTCCTCAATTATCAGTTCATAAATCTAGAATTTCTTGGCTGGTAGCCAATGGGTGAAGGTCACCAAATGAGGATCCCATAAAATTAGTGTAATGTAGCAAATTAGCAAAAATCTGAAGCAATTCCTTTCCACACTCCATTGGATTCTCCAGAGCTGTTTCCCTTTTGGAAAGAACCAATAGAAAAATAAAACCCCACAAACTCCCTTTCAACTGCCAAAATGGATTATCTGCAAATACACTTGGATTTATTTTCTTCAAGGATTAAATAAATAATTGATAATGATATCCTGCACTTACATGTTGCCTTTCAAAGTCTGAAGTAGTCAAAAGCTACGCAAACTCATGAGGCGGAGGAAGTACTGATTTACAGCTAAATTAGCTCAGCCACACTCCTTCAGAAATTACCAGAGAAAGCCAATAGCCAGACCCACCTATTCTTCAGCTAGCAAGCCTTGCTCTCCCACAGAAAATTATGATACAGAAGCACCCTGACCTCTCACCGTCAGACCAATCCTCACTGTTGACAGACATCAAAAGAACTGAAATACACACCTCAGCTTCCTCACAAAGCATATCTTAAGTTTCTATGTCAGCAAGACAGGAAGGAACACTTCAAAAATTAATAAGTAAAGTGAGAATTCTAAGTCCTTATTTTGACAACTCCTTATATGCAGTTTTATTATCAAAAGAAGCCTTTCCTCATTTTCAAACTGAAAAGAATGATGTTCCAATTCCTTTTCATCCTAAAATAAATAAGAAATTCTACTTTACAAGAAAGAACAAAACAAATAGTGACAAAAAACAACAGTGCCATATTACTACCCTCTTTCAAACACAGACTGATAGTCTTTTATTCATTATGATTCACCATAATACAATTTTTTCATATAATGTTGCATGCAAAGAATGTCTGATTTTAAAAACTATACATGAAACACCCTCCATCTTTTCCCTGTGTGTCCTCACCTTCTTTTCAGCAAACAAAACAATTTCCAGCTGTCCTTGCTAGACGTTTCCTGTTATCTGTTGCCCATTTTCAAATTATAGCTACAATGATTCTGACTTTACAGCTGAGGAGGTTTATGGGAATTACTTTTATAGAGAAGGACGAACAATTTTATACCCTCCTCAGAAATATCAGTTATGAGGGTTTTAGTCAAAAAAAACAAAAAAATTCACCTTTTGGACAGAATTCAAACATCAACAATTTAAATTCAGGAGTGAAATTTCTAGACATTTTTGAGTAACTGGAAATAGCCTGTTAGAACAGAACCGGCTATGTTACACCAGCTACTGCAGACATTGCTACTGCCATGATAGCAATGTTGCTTTAATGGGTATTAAATTGACAGGATACAGATGTTCAAAAATAAAGCCCAAGTACTCAAGCTGTGCTTGCATGGGCTGTGCCCTTAAATGATCTATAATCATCAATGACAGACTGTCGAAGACTGGAATTAATAAACGAAAGCTGCTGCTGTCTTGTGCTGCCTGAGTTCCGGTCTGGGAAAGCTAACAGTTTCTTTTTCTTTCTTTACCTGTTCCCATATAATTGCATTTAATTGGCACATAGAAAGCATATTTGTTTAAAGAAGAAGCAGGTAGCTTCTTCTGGAGCCTGCGTGCCTGGGAAGCGTCACAATATTAGACCTGATACCCAAGCCAAAACATATCGATATTACAGTTGATCAACCTGAGACCAAACTTCACCTGTTTTAAGGACCAGAAGGAAGTCAAGTCACAGAAAATGGTTTGCGAAATCTTTTCATGACAGAAGTCAGAATCACAATACAGAGGTAAGTGCAAAAATCCTACTAAAGCCTTAAGTTGAACAAACTAGATTAAAGCTAGTCTTACACTAACTAGACTTAAAGACATATTCAAAAGTTTTTCTGAACTGCATCCTATATTCAAATACCAACAGAACTAGTCAAAACATTTTCCACTGACACATTTTAAGAGAATATGGATTGTTTTTGACCAAAACAAAAACCTCTTTTGGATTTTTTCTTCTTTTTAATAGAATAAAATGAATGAAATGTCTTCTGATACTGTAAAAAATATAATTCCTTTCACCCACTACTTCCTCCTCCACTGCACCCACTACTTCCTCCTCCACTGCAATAACGCAGCAATTTCCTCTTTATGCCAATGGTTGGCTGCCATTAAAATAATTGCAGCAATGTAGATTCTCTCCTTTTACATGTTACGGACTAGAAGGGAAAAACATTTTTAGACTGCAAATACTCCATCTCATCATCAGAACAAGGAAAAATAGGATCCAAATGTGACAACTGAATGGTAAAGCAGAATTTTTAAACAACACTGTCTAAAGATTTTTTTCTCTGACTCAAAGTCCCTCTTTCGGAGGATATTTATGATTGAAAACACAGCCTGCACTCTGACTCAGAACAAATGACATCCCAGGATTCTGTGTTATCCATTCTCATAATGGCTGTCAGATCAAATCTGCTCAATTTGCTGTCCCTTTTCTTTCCTACTAGCAACTACTATAAGCTCAGTCAAGGATCTTAAAATTATGGTCGTTCAATCACCAGTAATAAAAACTGGAAGTTTGTTAGCTGTTTTAGTGATGATGCATAAAACAGAGAAGAACGTACTACAGTTTCCCATTAGAGAATGTGTTCTCTTTAACAAGAATAAGTAAAATGACCATTTGTTCCACAAAGTTAGTAGATAGCTGTTAAAACCACAGAGCAGACCTGTTTAACACAAAGATGGCCTTTTACACAGCCATTGGCAGATACAAACTCTATTTTACTGCCATCCATTATTCATCAAGGGGTAATACAAACAGCAGCACAGGAGAGAGCAGACAGCGCTGTCTCATCTCTAAGATTATTTCCTTTATACCCTCCCACACCTCAAAACCCCCCAGTTCTCCTGGAGAAAAAGTGTGATGCTCTCTCAGAGCTCAGCAAGCCAGAGACATGGAGTTTTATCTAGCACAGCTGTAAATCAGCCCAACTTCACTGACTTCAATGAAGTCAAGGTGATTTTTATCAGCTGAGGAACTGGTCCAACACATACAGAATGGACTACCGCGTATAATGTGACACTCTTGAATCTAAATGTCAGGACACAGACAAGAGGCTCCAGAAAAATGACAAAAATACATTTCCAGGAAGCAGATTCTTTTTGGTGGCTTGTCTAGCTCGTGACTAGAGGTGAAATCCTAGTTCACATTTATAGCAAACTTCCACGGACTTCAGCATAGCAGAAACTTCTCTGGTGGCAGGCTGTGGGGTAATTCACTGGCATCATTGCAACTACACTGATTTGTACCAGCCTAGATGCTGTCCTTAAACTTATGAGGTTGTGGAGCCTATATTCATTACGTAATCCATTTATTAAGGCATGCGGAGATGGAAGAAATGAAAGTAGAGTAAATGAAGATTTTATCACTTAAATAAAATTGAAGGCTGTTATCCTTTATGTTTATTCAGTTATCGTTCATTTCTTACCTCACAGATGCAAGCAAGCTATTGTTCAGTTTCAGTTCTCTCAGGTTAGGTAGATAGGCACCTATGGGATCAGAATAAAGAAGCCTTTTGCAGACCTGGTAGCAAAATAAAGGAATCTTTTGGCAATCACAGCAAGCTTAAGCATCTCAGTTTACATGCATTTCTTACCTGTTTTTGCCAGATCTATGCTGGACCTCTTCTAAGAAAGTTAAAGAGATTATTTCACTTGGAAAATATTTCAGCCTTTGCATTTTTGCAACATATACATATTGTCTGCATAGAATTGTACTTTTTGGAATGCCTCTCTGAAAACTGTGCTATGATGTCTTTCCAAACAACAGAAATTGGCTCGGTGGCAACTGTGTTTTCTTCAGTCCAATTCAATACCCTTGTTGACTATTAACTGAATGATAGCCTAAAGAGCTAAAGAATGCTTTATAGCACAGTATTCCATGAAGTATCTTCCTCTGTGATATCTATACGATGCTTTTCCTCCTTTCCTCAAAATCCTTCTCTGCTTATTTGATGGTAAGTAGTGATGGAGTAATTGGATACACAGACAAGTAACACTTCTTCAAAATGTAATTTTGAGCCAAACAATAAAAGCACTTTCTCCCATGTCACATCATCTTTTTATAGTGGGGAGGTCCCCCAAATTCTATTTTTGTTTTCCTAAGCATCACTTACTCCCATTAATTTTCTGGATGTGGTCCATTCTTTGCTATCCAATTGTACAAGTTTTATATCTATGAAAAAAACAGCATTTCATTATTATTACTTTTTCCAAATGCTTTTCTCTATTCCTAAGGGACATTTCCTTTTTTTTTTTTTTTTAATAGCTTTAAAAAGTAGCTCTGAATCACAAACCAAATCTCTCCAAGCTACAGATAAATTTGGATACAAGGCTCAAGCTGCAAGAAACATTTGCTTTTGAAAGCAGCAAACTTTTACCCATTCCCACAAGCAGAGTTTATCCAGAGCTGGCAAAAATCTTCCACCATACTATCTCACCATGGAGAAGTAACACCAATTTTAGACAGACTGGATCATTGCTAAGACATCAAAAATCTGCTCTCAACAACTATTTTTATGAGCTCTCTGAGTAATCTATCTGTGGCAGAGATGATTTAGCAGTATCCAGAAAAAGGAAGTCATTCTAGCTCTTCTCACAATATCATTAAAAAAACAAAAAAAAAAAGTGAGGGGGCTTAAAAGGAGGTCATGTTGTTCATCCCATTTCTCCAAACAGGACAACAGTATCTACGGCAAAAATATTTCAATAAATCATGGTTTAGTAGAAGCATTACTTATATCTAATGCTATTTGGAAGCGATTATAATCCACATACTGACTTTTGTACTATAATGCAAATAATTAACTTCATTTCTTTGCAAAGCTCTTTAAAAATTTTTAAATATGTAAAACTGTGGAAATTTTTAATTTTTTAAAAATCATTTATACATAATACATAGAAATCATAGCATACATAATAACACACCATCCTTGTCCTGCAAGGCATACACTCTCACGTCAAACAAGTACAGCACACAGCAACAAAATAATCCAGGAACCTGACAGGCCCGGGATACCAGGATCTCTATTAATTGTTCATGGCAGTCATACTAGCTACTGAGCAAAGACTTCCTTATATACAATCTGTGCTCTGAAAGAAAAACGCATAGACAAAAGGTAGGGGATTAAAAAAAAAATTGCTATCATGTTACTGATAGGAAACCTGTAACACAGAGAGATTAAATAACTTGCCCAAAGTGCCAAAGGAAAGAGCACAGTAGCCTCTGCATTCCCAGAACAGTGGGTGTGTAATACTGCCATGCCACACACATTCAACCAAAGAGTTAAAGGGTTACCATGCAAGGCCTATTGTAAAGCATTATAAAGCAAAGAGGTTTTTAAAAGTGGTATTAGCAGAAGATTTGAACAAGGGAAATGGAGAGACTTTGAAGATTAGCTTACCCCCCCCCCCCCCCCCAAAAAAAAAAACAAGGGTGATTTAGGATTGTTTCAGGAAAAAAAAGGGGAGAAGAAAAAAAGAAAAAAAGCAGCCCAATAAGGGATCTAGGAAAGGATTCAAAGTACCACCTCCGGAGCGAAGTAGCCAGAACGACCAGCCAAAGATACAATTTTCACATCTGGTTATTTCATTATTGTAACCCTGTCCTCCATCTCAGAAATTTTATTGCATTTTGGCACAAACTAGCCCTGGTAACTTGCAGAGTCTTTAACTCTAATGGGCTGTTTAGTAGACTAAAATAAAAAGGCATATGATGCGTAGTGGTGTAAAATTCTGCCAACAAGATTTTTACAATAAATGTCTCCAATTTTTCAGGTTCTTCCCTCATCTAAGTTTTATATTAGATACATAATTGTTCTTTGGTGCTAAGAATGCATTGACCATTTGGTTTTGCTGGATTTATAGTCCCAATTCCTTACATATACTTTGGAAAGTGGAAGACTAAGTTAAGGAGAGAAAACTGTGAAAGAAGACAAAATAAGTGTCCTATGCAAATTCAACTGCATGCTTCTAATTTTCTCAGTTTTAATCCTAATAGTATATTTTCCTGAGACCAATGATGGGATTTACTCTTTTATTAACATAAAATTACCCTAAAATATCAACAATATTGACTTAATTCATTTTAAAAATATCAACAATATATTCCCCATTCTAACCTCTCCTAAAACAATCATTTCAGTTTTAGAAAGGAGAGCAGTCCAGGAAAATGCTGATGACCCCAATACAAAACTGAAAATCAGAAATGGGTAGCAATGTTACCTCTTCTTTCCAAGATTCCCTTTCACTAAACAGCCTGTTGTTAGATGGCTTTGAAATCACTGATTAGCAACAAGGCAGCAGTGTTAAACTATGCTACTGTACTATCCTAGTGGAACAAAAAACTACATAAAGAGTAAAGAGAACTCAAGGTATAAGGTAGATGTTTGACACTTTTTTTTTTTTTTTTTACACAACAGTTCTGAAATCAAAGACCCACCCAGAATATTTTCATCAATGTATTAAATTGGTTGTTCAACACAATGCGTATTCCTGAGGAAAAGTCTGCAGACACCTATCTTGGAGCTGCTACATTTAGGGTCAGAGAGTGTATTTTGCAGAATGCTTACTCCACTGCTGAATAAAAGTAATAGATGCACATTCAACAAAATTGCCTCAAATGCTGCATTGCATGAGTAGAGTAAAAATGAGGCTGTTTTTCTGAGCTACCTTGCTACAGCAGGCAACATTTACATAACTAACTAGAACTAGGGAGAAAACAGGCAGGATACTGGTTTTATTGTATTCTAAAAGCTCTAACGCCTATATTTATAACCCTTGCTGTTTATATTACCGTGCCTTCTTCAGGCAGCATCATCTATCTTGTTTTTCTACCACTGGAAAAAATAACTGTGGCTTGACTTCTTAAGCCTCCTGGAATGCAGGAACATAAATTAATGAAAAATACACACAAAAGAAATGACTGACAATTACTTGCTTCGACATCAGGCAACCTGCATGCTATGTTGATCCTACAGTATGAAACAGGTATGCGAAGACAGGCTGCACTCTTCTAGCAATATCAACCAGATATGTAAATTAAACAGGCTAATTAATCCATTTACACTGTGTGCAATCACATAAGATAAATCACCTTGATGTTATTTCCATGCATGTTCTAAATGTGACTTTTCCACACATTTCTGGGGGAAACCGGGCAATGTAAATGGAGATAAGATTGCAGCATGTGGAGGCAAATCTGAGAGGATTTCAGTCTAGCTACCTGAGATTATAATCTCACCAAAAAACAACAAAAACCCAAACAAACAAAACACAAAAGCAGCATACCAGCACAGGGTTTAACATAAACTCACTGCCCAAGTAAGTATTTGTGGCTCCTGGAGAGCTGGTCTAAGCCATGCTGCAGCCTGTGCTGTTGCATCTTCTCAGAGCCTTATTAATAGGAGGTAAATCAAAGCCAGGTTAGGCAGGAATACATACGCTGGAGTCACGCCTCCAACCACAGCACAGGCTTACCCCAGACCATATAAACACCTGCCACTGCAATGCAAGCTTCTGAGAAAAGTCCCGCAACTTCAGATCTTAAAAAACACTGTGAAACAGAGCAGAAAGAAATGGATACCCTAACTCTGTATGAAAAATAACATATGCCTATTTCTGAGTCTTGAGCAGAGCTTTCCCTTGATAAGACTCTCTCTGCCAAGCAGCAAGAGACTCTTCTACAGTTCACTTGCACCACAAAACAGCTGCCTCACCAAAGGGAAGCAGCAGTCTCCAGACATAATCAACTTAGCCTGGCTGCCAGAAGGCAACAATTGAATAAGTACCAGTGAACAGCATTGTGGGTAACTTGATTTGCAGCTATTAAAATCACTTAGAAATAAGAGAACTATGTAGTGTCTTAAATGACTATATCCCACCATTACTTTCAACAGGGATTTCTATGAGCTGGTCATGAATACGGTCCCAGATCTGTCAGCAATCAAAACTGAAGGGATAAGCTAATAAAAAGGAAATAGCCCATCTGCTTGAGTATAAACTGAAGACTACATGCAGCTAAATAGCACAGAAGTAAATCCAAATTCCGCAAAGCTGGAAGGAAGACTTGCCAGGAAGGTTCAATGTTTTGTCTGTCACTCAACAAGGTGCACTGAAAAACAAATAGCTGGACACTTCAGCAGTTACCCAAAATCCCACTAAGGCTCAATTTCAAGTTCTGGCATGAAACTCTTCATTATTTTAAAACCAATCACATGAAAACATTTTAACAACAGTCTTTTAGTGTTTCAGCACACACCCTCTCCCTAGGAAACATGATTATTCTCCTCTGCTATGTCCCTTCATTGTGTAGAAAGCTGTCCTGACAATTTGAGAAAGGTTAACAGGATTATGCTTTAAAGTTCGTCACATCCCAAAGTGGAACGCTTGTAAGAAAAACCTCGGACAACACACTTCAAATCTCTCTGTACATCCTGCCAAAGGTGATGTGCATCCAGGATGCTTGTGGTATGGTGTATATACGACTGAGAACTCTTAAGACATTTTTCAAGTGGAAATTGCTGCACAAATTTGGGATTCAAGTGACACTAGGTTCCAGGTTACTGGGAAGTTATGTGCATTCTAGTACCTTTCAACTTGTAGAAGGCCCACAGAAATACCAGCTGACAGAGCCATCAGGCTGGAAGGGGCAGCCAGAGGTCTCTAGTCCAACCTCCTGCTCAAAGTAGGGTCAGCTGTGAGATCACACCAGGCTGCTCAGGGCTTTCTCCAGTTGCATCTTGAAAATCTCCAAGGATGAAGACTCCAAACCTCTCTGGGTAGCTCCACTGCTTGACTGTCCTAACGGTGAAAAAGCTTTCCCTTCCCTCAAGCTAGAACTTCTCTTGTTTCAGTTTTCCCATTTTTTTCCTACTCTTTCACCCACACTGTCTATCCTGACCCTGCATGGCCAGCAGTGCACTGGTTCAGGGGCAGGCAGCCAGCAAGGAGTATGCAGTGAACCTGTTACCTTCAACAACAACCTTTCTTACACCATTCCCACTGAAGGTGCAAATTGCCTTGGGATGCCCCTAAAAATTTAGGCCTTATTCCATGTGCCTAAAAACCAGCTGTGGGGAGCTGTCAGGTGAAGAAAAAATGCAAGTAATCTGTGATCACTGGAAGCATTAAGTGGCAAACTTTCCGCCCTAGCCATACGCTGACTTTTTCAAAGAGGTTTTCACAGAGCGGAAGACAGAAAAGCACTTAAAAGGAGAGGGAAAACAAAACAAAACAGAAAAAAAAAACATTCAGGATAGCCTTGATGTTTTGTAATTCTCAGAAGCAGTGGGGACCTGCAGCTGTGGGTCTTTACAGCCCCCAAAGGCCAACTCTTGGTGCAAATGGTGGGACATAAACAAGATGGAAATTGTCTGCAGCTTGGGAATGATGCTCTGTATTCTGTAAAAGTTGCAAAAGCCCATCTAAAGGAAGCAGAAAGGAATTTATTCCAGCAATGGAAAAGAAAGGGAAGCACATAGGACACACGAGAAAGAGAGATCAGCGATGTGTAAAGACACTCTTTTTGTTCTTCCACTCCAGCAATACCCTGGGAAATCGACAAGATTAAAAGCAATCTTTGTACGAGCATGTGAGGAATAAGAAGGTAAAATAAAGTTCAAAAGAGGAAATGGAGTGGACTACAAGATTTAAGATAATCCCACAACACAAAAGTCACAAAGAAGGTAAAAACATATTGCTGTCTTGTCACAGTTAATGTGAAATGACATAGGAATGGAAGCACCACTTCAGAGCACTGATAGAAATGCCATAATGAGATTTCCTTATCAACTGGAGGAAATATGGCTGAGTACATTATGAACTATGAAAGAAACCAGTGTAATTTGCCTTAAATTATCAAGTGCCTATCATGAAAAGACTTATTTACAAAATAAATAGAGTAACGAATACAAAGTGGCTATATAATTCCAGGGAAAAAGCCCCTTCACTCTACTTCCTTAACCTTTCTTAGTAAATCAACATCAAAAAGCCCACTAAAACTGATCAGTTTTGTTATATTATAGAGTTATTTGCATACCTTGATGGTCTGCCCATGAAAATAAATTGCTCGGCTGAAATACTAGCACCCACTTTTGGGGGTGTGACTGCCTGTGGCACAGAAAATATAAACCTGCAGCGGTAGGGTAATAGGTAGGAGAATCACTTGGCTGTGATGGGAATCCTCATGTTGCTGACAGAAACGACTGTCAGAACCGTGAAAAAGGGAGGTTTCATATTCTCAGGGTCAACCCTCCTATACAAGGAATTTCCTCAGTACTTCTTTCCTTCTCAAGTACAGTGACGTTGACAAAGAGAAGAGTCACAAGAGTTGGCTCTCTTGCAGCCCATCAAAGTGACACACCTACAGGACCCTTCTCAAGCATGTTCTCCAGCACAGCTTGATAAGGCAGTTAAGTACAATAAGCAAATACAGACTGCTAGCAACATTTGCAGCCTGATACCACTAGCGGTTCCTCAGCCACAGGGGAATTTTCCAATGCAAACAAACTGCATTTTGGCTACTCTGTCCCACTAGAGCAGCATCAAGCACTTTAGAGGGCAAGGAAATCAGTAAAAGCTCATTTAAAGCCTAGAGGTTTGTCATTCAAGAGGAATTCGTTCAAAGTAATCGGCATTACACTGAACTGCTGTCACTCCTCCCATTGCCATATATTGTTCACAGTTCCATTTACTGTCTCACAGAGGAAAAGAGAGATCAAAATACCAGCAAGATCACATTTCAAGAACTCTCTAGCTGGACAGTACTTTACAGTTTTGGTTTCTGAGTCCCTAATCCTGCTTTGAGAAGGAAAATTTGAGAAGGTAAGTAGAGGATAAAGCATTTTCTTACCAAAATTCCCCAAGCTGTTCTCTCTTGTATCTACTCGCATCTCTAGAGCCTTCACTTGCTGTAGATCATCTACCCCTGCCAAAGCTTTCTGTAAAGATAAGCAGAGATATATTTGTACTCTCAAGGAAAAAAAAAAAAAACAGAACACATGACATAGGAGCAAAAAGGTGTAGAAAGGCTTTCAACTAGTGCTTTGTCAGCACGTGCTCCAGGTCAAAATGTCCAGATCCATGATCACATTAAAATAAGTTTAGTTTTCAAAGATCTTTCTTCCTAGCAGCTCTGAGTTATTCTAGTTTGCATTTAATTTCTACGTAGCTTACAGCGTCAAAGCTGCAAATCGCCCACAGACCTAGACGCCAATTAACTTCATTTAAACAGTAGGTCCATGCTTTTAAATCTTGCATAAGTCCTGTACTAATCCTCAACAGATAGGAAATGTTACCCTTAGTGCCACCTGTAATCAAAAGGCACTAGGTAAAACTCAACAAAACCCATCTTTTAGCCTCTTAATTCAAAACTGTCTAAAGGAAAGAGATAATTTTGGCTCAAGTTGGTCATAAGATGTTTGCTTTTCTGAAAGAGCAGAAGGCTGATTGCAAGAAATACAGATTCCTTTGAAAAGAATTAGGCAATGTAAAAGGACACATCCAAAATCTTTCACTATTTTTGCAAAATCCTAAAGAGACGGTCAACTGCTGCATTAAGCAGGGGAGAGGAGAGAACGAATGCAGTTCCTTATCACAGGATCTACCCCAAAATAACGCAAAGTCTTTGCCAATACGTACATGCACATTCTGCTTTATTTAAATATAGGCTGCGCTGAGCCCTTTTTCTGGGCTAATCAAGGAACGACAAAGGGAGTCTTGAACCAAAATCTAGGCATGCCACGTTCCAAAAGAAAAGCCCGTGAGAGCCTGCTTGAGAACGTGACCTAGTTGGCAGAGATAAGCATGAGGGAAGACGCAAGCAGAAGTTGCGCACATAGGAGAGACTGAAGTTCTAGCTGGTAAAAACTACAGTATGGCTATGAAATCTAAGACACTGGGCGGCAATTCCACTAGCAGCTGAAACAATCTCACAGGTCACTACTGCCAAAAAGGAGCTCTCATCCCCTCTTCCTTCCCCCTATATTTCCCTCCTCGTATCCTAGCTCATTTCTCCCCTGCTTTCCTGATCCAGTCTGCGTGTCCCATCACCTCCCTTTCATCAGCATTGGGTGCTCAGTGCATCCTGCCATGCAGCTGCCAAATCAAATAGCCCAGGAAGAAACTACACTCTTTTCTCCTGAGGGCTAGTGATTCATGGAGGGGTCTGAACTACTCCCTGAGAGACGAAAAAAATCAAGGCTTTTGCATCACAATAACTACCTGAAAGAGTTGCGGCTACATATGGTGATAAAATTGCTCAAAGTTTGCCTTTTTGTGTTCAGAGTGAGAACTTGCAGCTATAAAAAAGTCTGCTTCAACAAAATGGCTGACTCCAGTATCAGTTTCTCCTCATCAGTGATATAACCAACAGCATGGGTCAAAAGTGGTATTATTATCTGCCTTTTGCCTCTATATTTAGGAGGAAGGTAGAAAGTTGTTCAACAACCCCTGTGTACAGGAGATGAATTTTCTTACTGTTAAAAAGTTACAACATATTTTAGCTTGTTTTCATTTGCAGACCAACATTAATGATGGGGAAATGATTCATTAGAAGGGAATGTGTGTAGGATCACCTCTGTTTATGAGTTTTGTGAAGAAAAAATAACCACAGGAACATCCAGTTCATTTTGAAGAGGAAAATGGCAATTGCAACATTCCCATTCATCAGGCAAAATTTGCATTGCGCATAGGCAAGTGCAACTTCATTCACTCTAATGGCTGCACCTCCTCTTACAAGTAAAGAGCCAAACACAGTCTTAGCCTAACCGAGATGACAATTTAAAAGGGCATGATTTTCTGAAACACCTAAGCATCCCTCCTTGAAAAACTGGCTCCTTTTGTAAGGGCTTGAGTTGGGCTCCTGAAAATAGAATTATCCAACTGTGATTTTAAGCACAGCTGAGCCTAAGAAAGCTTCTAGACTCTCTTGCCTCCCCATGAGAATGTGAGAGGCACAAAGGCCTAAGCTAAAAGTCAGCAAGTCCCTAACGGCATCTAGAAATTTACTTTTTTATCTCCAAACGCAGCCACCACAGGAACTGTTTGCTCCTGCAAAGAAAGCAAGCTTACCAACTACAGACAGCTTTAGCCTCCAAGTAAACAGAAGATCCCTCACTGCAAGACACATTTTGCAGTAATCCTTTCCAGCAGATGACACTGTTTGTCATATGGCATGAGCGTACGTGAGAAACCAGAGCTCACTGACATCCCAGCACACATAGTCATGCGCTCAGATTGCTCGACTCGGACACGAATTAATTGTCTTTAAAAACAGCTTCTTTGGAAGAATAGCCCCCCACCACCACCACCACCACCCAAAGTGGCCTCAATAGCCTACTTCAGTAAAAGACAGAATAGGACGAGGTCTCAAAATAAGTAATAACCTTAGGGTCATACACATTGCCAGTAGAGGAGCAGAAGGTCCTGGCATGAGGGGCCTTTGCCTTTCTCTATTGCTCTTTACAAGCTCCCTGTGTGCAGTCCTGCCACTCTGCTATGTCCTGGAAAGCTACTTTTCCCAATTCTGTCCACCAGGGATACAGCTGTGTTGCTCACTCTCCTTTCTCAAAATCGAAGAATAAAGCTGCATAGGGTTATATTCTCGCCTCTTCTAGTTTCCTTACTCCTTTTACTCATACCAGGGGCTACTTGTGTACTTCTTTGCTCTCCTTTTCCTCTTCCAGATCCACCATTTGTATTTCCTTTTCTACCTCTGTCTGAAAAATGAGTCACTTAGTGCATGCACCATGACAGGCAGAGCCGTGGCTTCAAGGCTGGAAAGCCTTATTGGCTGCCACCACTAGTTCTCGAACTATAGATAGCTGCTTGAAGCATGTGTTAACCAGATGCCACAGACTCCATGTGTTCTCAGTTCCCACTTTTCCGTTCTGCTTTTCCAATAGCCTCCATGAAAATCAGTGATGTTCTGTCTGCCGATTCCTAGAAGATTCTTGAAGAGTTCAGAATTGATTTGCTGTAGGTTTAAAAAAATTATCATGCTGTGTGGAAGAAACCAGAGAAGAGCTCTCAGGTTGACTACCTGAGCTCATTTAAATGCACTAGAAGCACAAAGGCTCTAGGTGTGACTGTAAGCTCGTTAGCAAGCAAAAGGCCAGGGAGGCAGTTCAAGAGAAGGTTACACGGTGAATAGTTCCTGCGGAGGATAGTTCGGACACTCCTACTCCCAAGATACCTTTCTTGGAATACTGGTGCACTTGGAAGTGTGATAGGTCTCGTATGTCACTGCTGAAATTCTGGCAACAGGAACAGAGGAGATTTAGGGAAGGACATCATGGACACATTTAAAATAAAAAAGATAAAAGGGAGACCCTGCTATATGTGCATTATTATGTTGTTGTTTAATATCAGAGCACAGGAAAATTCAGCAAAATTTAAAAGGAGGGATATTTATGAGGCAATTTTACTACTGTTGGGGTAGTTTAAAAAACAAAATCCTCAGTCAAGCACACTGACAGGGATCATCAGCTTGGACAGAGATATGTTTGGCACCACGGAGGTAAAAGCGATACTGAGGTGCTTTGCAGCTCTTCATTCCTAGGGCCATGCCAGGGCCTGGGACAGGCTCCTGCAGTAGTTCAGAGAAGTCCCACTGTGGCTTCAAGCAACGACTGCCTGTCCCAGCTCCAAGGGCTGTTTTGACAGCCAGGGACAGAGGGTCTCTTTGCCCGTTTTTCCAGCAACACTTATGGACATGAAAGTACTGTGCCATCTAGGTATTTCTTCTGTTGTTTACAGTTGCTTAGCCTCAAAAGACTAGACTAAAAGGGGCCAAGGATCTATTCTAGATAGAGACTTGGAAATGCTCAGAGCTATTTTACACCAAAAAGATACCTTAAAAAAATCTAAATATAATTGCAGGTTGTCTGTCAGCATCCAGAAAGGATTCAGCCTGCCACGCAGCTACTGCCCAGTAAGGTGGGTATCTGTTAGAGGGAGGAGGAGGCTTTTTTCTGAAGAATCAAATATTAAAATTTTTCTGACACATGATGCTCAAGGAGGAGGCCTGACAACTTGATTCAGTGCAGCAAGTACTCCATCCTAAGTTTGCTTATTTGCAAGGATAAATTTCTGTGGAAAACTACTGCACTATTCTTTGAACGCTGATAAATGACTAGTATAACAAAGATGAACAAAGGTCTCTCTACATTTTGGTATCTCCTTCATTAGGATAGAACTATTTTCCATGAGATCATGCAGAGGAGCCTGGTAAATAATTTAGCCAGTGTTTTAAGAAACAGCTCCATGATGGCTTACAAACCACTCCCATCACACAAAATGTCTGGCCAATGTCTAACTGGAGAGCTAGTTTGGAAAGCTTTTCTTCTGACTGACAAGAAAAGGCAATAAGTATTCTGTAAAAAATTGCAAGTGAACAATATTTCTGCACTTGCAGAGCTTCCCAACTGACAGAGCAGTCACCTGGGGATGCTGGGAAATCCGGTTCAAGTCCCACTTGCAACTCTCTGTAAATTCCTTAATTGACAAATAATATTTGTTCAATTAAAGCTGGTGTATACAGTTGATTTTGTCTCTCTTCCCTAGATTTTTCACATACGCTAAGAAAAGCAGATATCTTGTTGAAGAGCATGTTGCATGCAGCTGTCAGAGAAGCACTTCCAGCTGTGTGTTTATTTTGTTGATCCTGGTTAATTTGGCTAACTCAGGAATTCCTGAGTGGTGAGCTTATTTGCTTTTAATACTACACCTGTACGCAAATACTAGATTCACGTCCATTCATGTGTTCATTGCTTTTCATAGGGATTTTGTTTGAAATTCCCAACTCAAGTTCTCCTTACACAAACAAACGTGTGTTGCTACAAGTACTACTTCTAAGAAGAGAACTACTAGAATATTAGCAAGATTTTAAACAATTCTAAATCAAGAAATTTTCAATGAGAGGGGACAGAACTTACATGTG